AACAATATCAATAAATCCTATGATAACAAAAATATTTAAACGAGCTCTATTTAACACATCAACAATGATTAAAATAATTACCATCAGCTATTTTTAATAATTAAGGTAAAACATTAAAAATATAACCCCAAAACAATAAATGTATAATTAAATGTTTTGTATTATGATGTAAATAAACCTACACCAAACATCGTTGTTCAAGTTGCAAATAGGAATGGTGTTAGCAGTATACTCTGAATTATAAAGTAAAATAGAATTAACTCATTAGGCACATATATAAAAACAATACTTTAATAATCAAACTTGTTAAGATATATAATTTCCCACAAAGTATTCAATAAACATTTAAAATATAGCAATGAATATTGATTTGTTTAGAACACTTACTAATCTCAGCAGATCTACTAGGTACTGGAGGCGGCTGTGTACCATTGCGAGTGGGTATCGAAGACTGGTGTGATATTGGAGAAAAGGGAATCATATCAAAGATGTCAGTGGAGGGCGACTTAGGTGTCACGCTGCCTGCCTGCAATGAAAATAATATGAATTCGGTTAGTATTTCATGTAGACATATTGTAATGCTGAATATTCTAGTACATGTAAAACATATACAAACAGCAAATTCAGTTGAATCATATGAACTTGCCATTTTGGAGATCAAAAATAGTTAAGTATTTGCAGTTTCATATTGTTCCACTAGTTATGTGAAATGCTCATTAGCAGAAGGAATATAGAATATTTCTGCAAAAATGTTCTCACAAATGATGGCAAAAATGGTGACAATACTATTCAGATGGGTATACAAGATATATTGGATTTTTTGTATATCTAGAAATAATTACCATTTGTAGCAGAGAATTAGACATGTTAGAAACTATATAAAACATGATTTCAGTAATATACTTTGCATAAGATAATAAGTTTTAAACAGGAATAATTAAATAGAAGTTACCCACGTTCTTAAATATAAACTTTCAAATGCAATTGAGGGCATTTTTAAAATATTTTGAAGAATATATTTTAACTTGTATTTATAACTACAATGACAACCAACTTATATTCATTGTAGTATATTTTGTTCCTGAAGATTTTGTCAAGTTTTCTATAATAAATAGCTACTTTGTAAAATTAATAATCACCAATGTACCACCAAAATCATTGCCTTATCTGGTATACTCTGGGCCAGGACTGAACAAATATAAGAAGATAAAAATAAAAATCTTATGAAAACGTAGTCAAGAAGTAATATAAAAATGAGACATTCATCACTTTGTCAAACAGGAAAATATGTATGTGTGTATATACACGTCTAATCTCCTTTGAAAACCATCTGATCTCATCAGGAATAAAACAAAGAGAATTCCCCTTTCGAGGGGAATAGTGCAAAAAAAATTTGCTATTCCTGTAAGATCTTGGACAGAGATTGTATAGGGTGGTTCACATTTAAATTAAAGTTCTCAAAATACATTTTAATTTTCTGATTCACCGGCGATGCAGGTGACAAAGAAAAATAAAATTGATTGTTTGTAAAGAGTAATGAATGTGCTATTCAGTTAAAATATTAATAATTGTTAATACATTTTTTATGCAGTAAAATTGCCATCATCTCTCTTTCTTTAACAATTCGTTTATTGCATTCCTCACCTCTTTCCTCTCACTCAGGAATATTGTTCCCCTTATCATCCCTAATCATTGCCCCATCCCATCTAGCTTATATACTTCTTCCCTTTCTCAGGATCTAAAAATGCTCAAATCCTGGCTGTCATTAAAAGTAAAACAAACAAAACAAAAATTTCTTTACTCTGTCTCTCTTTATTCCTCCAGCGTCTCATCTCTCTTTCTCTTCCCTTCAAGGCTGAGCTCCTTGAAAGAGATACTACACTTTCTGTCTCGACTTTGACTTCAATCTTTAACTCATACCAATTAGATTTAGCTCTTTTTGCACTGAATTCTACTGAAAGTGCTTTCACTAATGTCACCAATGATGTAAGTTCCCAGTTGCCATATCTGTTGCATCGGTTGAAGTACCTGACCTATTTTGTCTTTCTATAGATTCCTACTCTATCACCACTCTCTACTTGAAACTTTCTGATGTCAGGTAACCAACCAAAGGGAAAAAAACGGCATACAAAGGCTTCAGATTGCATCACATTGATTCAAGATATATCTACCTTTATGATTATTATATAAACAGCACATTTTGGCAGAACTAAAAAAATGGGATAATAAGAATTTTCTGCTTAGAAAATTACATGAGGTCTTGGGATGCTGTTCTCACTGAATGGTTTAGGAAGACCACATTTAGAAGGTGGTGGTATTAACAGTCCCAATGATAGTCTGGAATCAGGCGAGTTGACAGGAGTGACAGAGATGGAAGAAATATTGAGACAGGGAGATGAACCATCACTACTACGCCAGAAAGAGGGTGAACATCTCTGAAACCCGTGTTGCTCGTGATCAGACATTTTGCGCAGCAGCTGTAAAGGAATGACAGAAAGAGAAATATACTAAGAAGAGGAAAGAAGGC